CTCCCTGACTGAGGTAGGTCTCCCTGACTGAGCGTAGACCAACACTTTACCATTAAATCAAAGTGGCTTTTTTATTATTTCAGTCTTAGACTGCCTTTCAGAAGGTCTTTATTCCTGTGTGTGTCCTCAAATGTGTAATCTCATGAGGAATAGGAATTTTAAAAAATATATTATATTCTAGACCAGGAGCAAGGAACAATATACCTGGGATATACTGTGTGTCTGAGACACTTTCTTTAACAGGGTTAAGAATAGAAATGGTGCAGAAATGCATTGCACTGCAGCCAAAACTGGAATCGATGTGTGAGCGTGGGTGGAGAATAAGACAGTCGTCATTCCCCCAAAGACATTTAATATAAGATGATTAACATTACAATTGTGTATTCAATAGGACTGGTTTTATGCAAAATGCATATTTTATTGGATAATCTAAATATACACTGTCTACTTTGTATCTTTATTACAGTAGAGGCCACCACTCTAGATCATGTGACTTCATTTCACCTCATCTTTTCCTTCATCTTCTCTTACATTAGTTTTGTTATCCAACCATGACCATATTTTCTTACTATCCCATTTTCTTGCCACAGTCGGTTTGACATCTTGCCAATTCAGATGCTAAATGTACAGTCCGTGAGTTTTTAACACATACACACAGGAGGGATTATCTTGGATTCATTCAAAAATGTTCCTGTTAGCCACTTTTACACAACATATTTAGGAATAAGAATCGCTGTAGTCAGTTGTTGGAGGCAGCACGCTCATTCCAACGTCTTATAAATAAAACAATACCTGCTGTTTTTTATTTATTTAACTTTTCGCTTAAGGGCAGCGCTTCAGTGACTCAGGTCTGAGCTGGCCGACGTTGCCCACTCACACCGTGTCCAGTGGGGTGACATTTAAATGATGTGACCTTCAGAATCCTTCATCTTTATGTTTATTTTCAGCGAACAGCTCGTGACTCCAAAAGAAGGGCGTCAAAAGAGGCCAATGTTCCATCCAAGGATGGTCAGCCTGTCAACATCAGCGGCGGCGAGGAGGCTGAAGCAGGAAAGGAGAGTGATGAAAGATGAAGAGAAACAGAAATGCTGTGGAAATGCAGGAGACTGAGGCCGTGGGCAGTCCCCCACATGACAGAACGGTGTAATACAATAGTGTGTAGTTAACACTGGATGGGACTTTGGAAGAGTTTGGCCTTTAGGTCTTGCCGATTTACAACATAAGCACCTGCATACGCCTCCACCCAAAGACCTTGGGATGCTGCATCTTTGCTGTGCCATTGCAAGTGTGTGCATGAAGCAAGGAGTGGTCCACATACAGTGTTCACACTCTCCACTGTGCTTGTCTGCCATGCTTATGGTGCCGGTCAGGGAATGGGTCACTGTGTTAAGCCAAGACTGTACAGTTCCATATGCACATGATAATCACTATCTGCACATCCAGTGTAATCTGTGTGGGGCCTTTCTTAAGACTTTGCTTCAGTTGTTTGTGTCAGTGTGTGTGTTTTTTTGTTGTGATCTAAGAAAACAAAAAAAGCAATGATGGTGTTGTTTAAACTTGGTTAATGGTGAAAATGTCTTTAAACCTGAAGTGCTGTTCACAACCCCAGATTTGGAGACTCAAAGGCTGAAAATTATAAGTTGCAGCCTTTGCAAGAAAAAGAAACAAACACACCTGCATGTGCCTACAATTCATTTAGACTGAACTCTTTTTGCCTTCACTTAAGAAGTTTTATGTTGGACCATATATTTTCCAGTTCACGTTATACATTATGTTTAATACTGTTATTTACCTTTAATGTGCTTGTACGTAGCGGGCTACACAAACAAATTCAAAACTAAACAATAAATTACACTAAAACACAAATAGCAGTAGATGGCGCTGTTTTGCCAACCTACTTAAATCAAGCATTTGAATAGCCCCCAAAACAAATAAATATAGATAACGTTCTTTTTCTTTTCTTTTTTCAATTTGTCAAATCTGATGTCACATCCTGTTACACTTTAAATTATTAAATTATTATCAAATTATATTAATACAATTTTAACTTAGGTGGATTAGGCATTTTTGCTTTTTAACAAGTAGTTAATTGTTTGCATCTTCTTTGTTTGTTAAAACTAACAAAAATTGTCTGTGTCCCTAACTATTGCTAAAGGTTATTCATCAATTATGAGCGGATGGCTATGCTTTTGTTCTATACACGAAATTACAGTGCAGTCCATGTTAAAATCTATGTTAAATTTCTCTTTTCTTCGTTACATGACTTCCCGTTGACATAGCTTGATTTCAATACCCTAATTGTCTGCCTGTAATTTTTGACTTTAAGTAAGAACAAACAAATGTGGTTAGTTCGAAAGCCCTTTGGACAATACAGTATGTTCACGGATGAGATAGATAATAAGTTAAAAATAAAATACATAGCCGAAGTTTTGTAATTGATTTGTTCTTTTTTTTGTTTGAAATTCCCCTTACATAATATATATATAATTTATATAATATAATTAAAAATATTTCTTTATTGAGTCACATGCTGTCTTATGTAATTGAAGCAATAGAAGGTAAATAACTAATGACTTTCATTCAATACTTGAATATTTAATCTTGATGCTTGATTGTAGTGAAAAACATAGTCAGGAGATGGCGCTCTACTAAAAAAATGCATTTAGCATCGCGGTTACTCGAAAGCGAGTAAATGTTTTTTGTAACGGTATTTTTTATATACACGTTTGGTGGTTTTCTAACAACGTGTGAGCTTTGCTTCAGCAGTTTAAACTCAAAATGGTTTCGCAAGTTTCACAGGTATGCTGTTACACATACACGACAAACTAAATGATACCTTTAAGTTCAATTAGATAGACGTAAATAGATAATATTCATATATTTGCTTCTTTATGTCCACATGACAGTGTAATTTAATTGACCTCTTATTTTACCGAAGACTGAAAACGTTGGTACCATGGTACCATTACTGCATATACTGCGGTATATTCATTTTTTAAAATCTCTTGATTTTTTGATAGACCTTAAAGTACACACACTTGGCGCCCTTTTAATTGACCGATTACGTCAGCAACCGCTCTATTGAAATTGTAAACCGGCGGACGTTAGGACCGGGCGGAGTTCTGTAACAGTCGGTAGCCTCTGTGTTGAGACGTTGGTGCTCTTCTCTCCTTTTGAACGCTTAACTTAACAGCGGAAGGACAGGTATACGCAGTAAATTAACTCTTAACTATAATATTTTTTTTACGACTTTCCCAGTTATTTTCCTTTAGAAATATGTGGGTATAATATTGTGTTTGGATGGCCAAGCGACCCGTAGCTGACGACGGAATGCTGCCTTCGCCGACATTTCTCAGGGATTTTGGGAGCGTGAACATGGACTGCAGCAGCGACGGAGTGGAGGAGGTTTCCTTGGAGGAGATACTGAACCTGTACAGCCAACCCATTAACGAGGAGCAAGCCTGGGCCGTTTGTTACCAATGCTGTCGGACATTAGCGCAGAGACACCGCAGGAGATGCTCCAAAGCTGCCGCAACGGCGGTGAGCGGTGTGCGCAGGATTCAGGGACCCGGGGACGTGATGATCGGGAGGGATGGGGCTGTGGAACTGCACTTTGAGGAGAGCACAGGTAAAAAAACAAACCTAGTTTTCAGTGGGTGTCAGGCCACAGAATCAAACCTGCTTATGTGGCGTGTACATGTCGATAAACAGTCAGTAACAAAGCGTTTTTCCTTGTTGGCATTAATAGGCCAAACACAGTGGAGCATCCTCGCAAAGAGGCCATGTTGTTGTGGTTGTCTGCTCCCAGCCATGTGCCGAATTTGTTTACGGACCAGCCGATGCACTTGTCAATGCGGCGAATATTTCAGGAGTGGGTTTTATTCACCCCTCATGCCAAAGCTAACATAACAGATTGTATAATGACTACACACCATTAATGTTCCTAAAGTTCAATGTAAACACAATAATGAGTTATTACAGTATTTTAATGGGTAGACTTTGAGACGCAATAGAAATTAAAATATTTGACCCAATTTCAATTTTAAAGTTTAAACAAGGTCTGAATTGTAGTATACAATTCTAAGGAGGAAACAGACTGTGTTTCAGATGCAGACACACCTCTGGGCAGCTTTAACAAAAAGTAGACGTGTTGACAAGTTAGGCTACATTTTTATCACGCCTCACTCAAAGTGAAACTTTTTTTTGTATTTAGGTTGTCCATCTGCCAAACTAAACCAATAACAAAGAAAGAACCTCTTTAGTTTAGTCACTATTCGTCACATTGTTGACATTTAAATTCTAAACTTTGCACTTTAATCTTTCAATTTAAACCCTTTTTAAAGAGACCTGATTCTGGATGTTGCCGTGTTATGTCCCTACCATTGGAAAAATTGACTTGTTCCCACAACAGATATTGATATTTGTATGATAAACACAGCCTATATCACTGTTTCATTCATGCAGTGAAGGATCATTAAGGCTGCTCCAGGCTTTTGTTTGAGATTATGCCTCTGCAGCGGTCACTTCACTTCAGTAAATAACAAACCATGTGATGCTTTCAAACTGAGAGCACCTTGGGAACGGACCTAAGTAATGATGCGGGGTCATAACCAAGACTGCAGTGAAAAAGAAAACCACACATGAAAAACGCACTGTGGGCAAAAGCTGTTTACAGGCTTTGCCAAATCCAAACTAAGGTTCTCAGTCAGAAAACATATGAAGGTGGATATTGCCTTTGAATAGTCAAGGCCATTTATGCACTCATGATAAAGGCCTCATCATGTATATGATAAAGATGACTTGTCTAATTTAGTAATGTTTTAGTGCAGTGGTCATGTGTTCCAAAACATGAAGAATCAAAAGGTGTCAAACCTCTTTATTTGAAGAACATATTTACTTCAAGAAGCTGAAGTAACAGTACTTCATCAGTCTAATCTCAAAGGTAATTTATTAGGTTCATCTTCTACATTTTGGGCTGAGATCATCATTGTCTTCAGAATGGCCCTCTCTTCTTTATTGATGTCAAATATTGGTCCACATTGACATAAATGTATCATACAGATGCTGCAGATCTGTTGGTGAATGGTGAAAGTAAACAGTGTGTGTATGTCCTGTGTTTTTCTCTTACAAGTTTACGTTCTGTCTTTGTCGTGCACGTAAATATCTGCAGTTGTCATAATATAACTTCATAGTTTTTGTGGCCTAACAATACAAAAGTATTTGCTGCCTGCAATTTAATAGAGCATGGGACTATGTGAATAGGTGCAAATGGGCTGTGAATGAAAAATAACAAACACTTTCATGATGTGTATCTGCACCTCAAATCTACAGTCTGAGGTTGCAGTGATCGGGTTGAAATGACAGTCCTGGTTCAGTTCTCTGTCTTATATAATGAGTTTGTCAAGGCAGTATATTCTAGAATCAAAACTAATTGTTCCAGTACAACTATTAAGGTGTGTAAAGCTGCAAGTATGCATGCATGTGTGTCTCACAGCCTTGTACCTTTTCATCTGCATACTTTGAATGTGCTTGAGATAAAACTGGGTGTGGGACGGTGGTGTCTGAGTAACAGCATGTTCTCTCTCTCTCTCTCTCTCTGTCACTCTTTCTTTCTCTGGGAAATATTTATGCCAACTCCTCTTTTTTTCCACCTTCCATGTTTTTCCTTTCCTTTTCCAAGGGAACCCATAATTTAGAGGGCTATTAAGTCGACCAATGTTTGCTGGGTGTTTAGAAGTCCAACCTCAGGATAAAAAGATTGAGTCAGTGCTGCAGGCAGAAATAGAAAGAAAATGTGGTGATTAGATACTCAGGCTGCAGGAATGTAACGACAGATGACTGTGTAGATTAAGGGAAATCCTTGGCTGCTTCTCTCTCAGTTTAATTTAAGTATTTTTGGACAGTTTGTCCCCTTTCTGGTCTATATTAGTGCAGTTGATGAGTGAGACCTGAGACCTATTACACCTTCAGTAGCACAGTCACTTGTTATAGAGGCTGAAAATTGATGCTTATGCAACCTACAGTAGGGTTGGCCTGTAGTGTGTATGAGTCAGGAAAAAAAGTCTCTGTTTTGGCCGTGTTCAGACGTCAGCGTCACTGAGCTGCGCATCACACTGCGAAGAGACATTGTTCACAGTTTAGGCCAAGAGGGTGCATTTTTTGTGATGCTTTAAGAAGAAAAAAATCAAAATCAGCTCTCAGTGTGCTGACAGAGTTTTATAAATAAAACACAAATATTTCACTTCATGTTCCTTTAAGGAAGATGGGACTTGATTTAGAATATAAATTGACCAACTAATCAGGATAACCGCCAAGGACACAATGTTAGGACACCAAAAACAAACCCGGAATTGCTTTGCAATACGTGTTTGTAAATTATTTTTGGATTTAATGGATGGTTTTACCATCAATACTAAATTCCAGTTACAAGGTCAAATTAAATTATTAAGGAAACTTTTTTCCAATTCATTTTTATACATTCCACTATATCACTACACTATTAAGAAACCAAATTATAATGTTGCATAAACTTTATCCAAATATCATGGTATTGATGAAAAAAAGTATTGTAGTTGTTTTTTTTTAGATGGGTAGCATATCTCGTGGAATATATCTCATAAATAAATGCTAAAGAGGTTTTCCCACCTACAAACACTCCACACTGCACCAGATATACTGTTGTCTCTGTGATTTATATGCCACAGCAAGAGGAGACAACAGCCCGGGCCAAACTACTTCTTCTTTACTGTGGCAGACAGAGGAGTTAGTGTTTTCCTGATGAGCGTTGGTGAATGAATTGACTGTTTCTCCTTGTGTGCTCCAGTGACCTGTGCAGAGAAACTACACAAGAGCTACTCTATGAAAATCAACAAGTCGAGGGATTCTAGATAAAAAAACTGTGGCTTTAACTCAGTGGGTTATTACATTTAGATGTGGCGTTGATAACTGCAGTTGACCTGAGTCTCAGTAGTGAAGAGCTAATCTGTGACACTGTGGACTGGGTGTGAAGGCTGTAGATAAACTGCTGTGATTGTACCTTCACCTCTAATGCTGCCTTTTCCAACACTTTTCTCTTGTCAAGAAACTACTTTAATGGGTTTATTTATTCAGGTCAGGCCTTATATAAATACTGGCATCATTATTTTAATATTATATTTAATTATTTAATATTTTTTACCAGGGTATTTATTTGTGCGTTTTAAATGTTTTCATTGACTAGGATCAGTGTATTTTTGTCCATCTTGTTAATCATAGTATTTTTGTACTCAATTTAAAAGTCCTACATGATTTGAAATCATCAGGATTATGTAATTAATAATATCAGTCATCAATAGGTTACTTTCTCATGTCTTTAACTTAATTTCATCAGCATTTCCATATTATTTTACATGATGTTTTACTGCATTACTTACTGAGACCTTGTCACCATATGAACACAGAGAAGAAAACAAATACTACAGATGTGACATTGTTAACATGACTGCTCCAAAACCGCTCATTATAAATACGTCAATAAAACATTGCGTGATTGTTGGATCAAGGAGTGCCAGTGACAAGTACAGTAAAGTGCACATTGTCAGCTCCAAAGCATGAGATTAGGCCTCATTAAACAGTGATGTAATGGTCTTTTTGATCACATCCACTACTTTGGAAGTACATTCAAGTACATTAGTAGGTGTTAGCCCTTGGTGAGAATCCTGTAAAAAAAACCAAACATTTGTGCAACATAATGTTAGTATAAGACTAGATGAAGTGTTGGTTAAGTGTTTTTGATTTTAACGGTCGGTCTGGTTAGAAGTCTGTTTTTCCCTGCAGACCCTAAATCTCCCACAGTGTCACAGTGGGGTTTGTAGCTACACTTAGCCACAGGCAGCGACTGCACGATAAACACAGTCCCTCCACTCTGTTGGCAGTTGAAGTGAAACCACCCTCCATCCCCTGGACTCTGCCTACCTTTTTCTCTCACAGAGCACGCAAAGTTTAATATTTGATGTTCTGCAAAATAGCCCGAGGTGTGTGTGTGTGTGCTGTGACTGTTCAACAGAGATGGCTTGTGTAACATATTAAATTTACAGGCGTAAATAATTGTGTGGGTGTGTTGATTGCGTTCTTGATTGACTGGAACAAATAAGTAATAATAATCATTAGAGTTTATTTTCCATTGTGAATGATTATCCTCTCTCTGTGTCATTGCAGATGAATACAAGGCGGCCCCCACCACGTTGGAGGTGAGTTTCTCCTCCGTCACTCCAACCACAGCATAGCAAATCTCTTTCTAATATCATTTTATCACCACTTCAATCACAAGCAGTGCAGCCAGGTGAAGAGGATGTGTGGCTGGTGTGTGTTTGTCCAAGCCTTCCTCTCCTTTACCATACAGAGAAGCTTCTCTCGCAGCTTGATCTTGTGCACACAAACCAATTAAACACAATCTGTTAGCTCCAGTCAGGTCTTCCCTCATGTTTGTCGGTGTAGTCTATGTGTATGTCTATATGCACGTGTGTGTGCACATGTGTTTTCATGGCTGTCTGAATTAAAATTCCTCCCATCAGCTGACCGATGGGCGATGAGTGAAATCTCATAGCTGAACCTTCAGCTGCTCACAAACGAGTGTGAACAGAGAGAGAGATAAATCAACGAGGATGTTCTCATCTTCCAGTCTAACCTTCAGTCACCGTCGTGTTTACCTCCAGGATGTTTCCGGCTGATGCCAGTTTGCTAGCTGCTCACATGAGTTCTGTGTTTGTATTGAGGTTCTCCTCCCCAGCAGGGTGTGTTTGGTAACACAATCTTACACAATGGACTGTGCAGCTATTTAGAGGCAGTGTATGGTGTTGCTAAAGCTGAAGGACCCACCTGGTTTACAGTTACAGTTATTATTATCGTTTTTTTTCTCTCTGAACCTTCCAGTCGTTCCTGAAACCCATCCAATGGTATCGGGTTCCTCCTTGGAACTGGCACCAATCCTTAAAAATGTCTCAGGGAAATCGATCCATTGTTTTTTGGGGTTGGGTAAAGTCAGTAGATGTTTTATTTAATTATTAAAGCAATGCATGAATCTCTTTATTGGTGAACTCTCCAGGGTGTAGCCCCCCCCCACTCACCTACCACCCACGATGCTGCAAAGAAATAAGGGGTTGACAAGGGCTGGATAGATGGATGATTGATTTTTTTCTAAGGAAACCCATCATTAAAATGGTTGGGTTTTTTCTCACAACATTCATCTGCTGCATTTCATCAGCATGAGCTTAAAAACAATATGTGTTCCAAGGCTGCACCACTAAATAGAATTGTTTTTGTTTTTTTATCTATTTGTGGCAGAGATCCACCTCTGCTAAGGTGGAGTTTAGTTTTTGTTAGTGGTTTAGTGTGGACCTCAACTGATCCACACACCGGTTCTCTGCCTCCTTCCTTCTTGCCCAATTCATGACTCATTAGTTTTTTTATGAGGTAATAATTGATAAGTGGAAAATACAACTGTTTTTTCCTCCCTTTTTTTCTTTGTGGTTGGTTGTGACCTGGTGTTAAAGACATCCCCCATAATTCCTGTGTGCTCTGGTGGAAACAGAGGTGTTTAGACTTAGGATGGTTGAAGAAGTTACAAACACATATTTATTTATTTATTTATGTATTTATTTTTACTCATTTCGACTTCTCCTTGTTAAAGGATTTTGCCCACATAATTACAGTCATTAGTTTGCTCCAGACTAAAGCAGTACATCTTGGACTGTTGTGACTGAGTGTAGTAGCTTTACATTATCCATTCTTTACTGCGCCCGTCGTCCTACAGATGGATTATGACGTTACATAATAACACATGAAGGATATTTATTTAATCTCCTGGAACAGGATTATCGGCTGTACACACAAATGGATGATAATAAGAGCTCCACTGTTCTTCCAATAGGAACAGGAGCAATTGATTAGGAATGATTTATATTTTTAGTGATTTAATTCCAAATTCATGAGCATGCTTAAACAAAACCTTTTTGCTATGTTGTACTCTGTCGACAGCCTTTCTCGGTGTTGTCACGCTTAAAAAAAAAAAAAAAAAAAAGAACCAAACCCAAACACATCCAGTCAGCCCAGTCCACACCAGTGCCACCCACAGCAGCTCATTCTCACCTCCCTTGATTCCTGTCGGCAGAGGAACTTGCCTCTGACTAATGAGTTTCTGTACTCCACTCATGTGAAATCACTGTGTCTGTGATATATATATATATATATATATATATATATATATATATTTTCTACTTTTATTCCCTCTTGCTATGCTAGATTTAGCCCTCATTAATCAGAGACATATCATATAATATAATACATCTTTTATTAGCTTATGTGATTAAGAAATCACAATTCTGTTGTGTTTACAAACAGAAACCTCAGAATATCACGATGACGCAGTGAACCGCAGAGCAGCACAAACAGAAACAGAACTTCCCGCAGTGTCAACCATCTTGAAATGCTATGTCATACCTGGAACCACAGAAGCTGTACAATAGGAAGCAACAGCAGTTAAATAATTAGATTTTTTTTGGTGATTGTTTTCTAGTTATTTGGTTGTAAAAAAACCCATCAGTGTTAGATGTTCAACACCACAAAAGCAGGTATTTTGTTTAGGAAACAGCTTTTTCACATTGTTGTCCCAGGAAAACAAATCCAGATGGATCATACCCTTCTGCTTACTGTGAGCAGCTGTAATTGAAGTCATCACCACATTACTGTAATAATCGTAGAAACATCTCGGCCCAGTTTCCAATCTGAGGACATGAACCAACTCTCTGTCTGTTGACTGGAATTGAATTAACTGTAAATAAATTGTCACTTTTCCAACTAATGCAGGAAAGTAATGAAGTTCAGTTTGTTCCACTCTGCTCTGCCCAGGTGCAATAAATTAGTTGTTGGGCAAAAAAATTAAAGTCCAGACTCCAGGTTAAGTTGTACTAGAATTACTGATAGTGACAAAACATACATGGAAAAAACAACGATGTGTTCACGATAACGTGAGAGAACAAAGTGGCAGAAACTCAGTTTACCATAAAAACCTCCAGTTATTCCATCACACATTATTTTTCGTTCTGCAGGTTATCGACTCACTCGCCGTTATGATCTATAAAGCTCTGGACTACGGCCTCAAGGAGAACGAGGAACGTGAGCTCAGCCCGCCGCTGGAGCGGCTGATCGACATGATGACCAACCACGAAGAAACCGAGAGCGACCCCTGTCCCGACGAGGGCTATGAGGCCACCGAGGAGGAGGACGAGTGCGAGGAAGAGGAGGAGGAGGAGCTTGTAACTGCCTCCACCATCTGTACTGTCAGCAGCATACGCAGCTATAAAGATGTTATCTTGGTAGGTTGTTTGGTGTTTACACATGTATTTGTCCTTTTCCCACATCGTCACACTGTCTGTCAACTCAACACAAATGTCCACAAGCCATTATCACCCCAACGGTAAACAGATTCCCCTGATGGTGGCCGTCAAACTGTGTATTCTCTGAAAGCGTCAGAGAATAGGACTGGTAATTATAGCAGTGTAAACACATCGGTGTTTAGGGAATAAGTCTGTTATGTTCACCTTAGAAAAGTCTGGTGGAGAAACAGAAATCTGTTCCCTGCTCTGGTCTGACTCCAACAATGATTCTCCTGATTGGTTCTTTAGATTTCAGTTGAAGTCACTGAGACACACCAGAGTTAGATAACTGGTTCCTGCAGCTCAGGTGTTCAGGACAACTCAAGGTGAAATCATTGACAGGACAAACAAGTGAAGCACCAAGTCAGGAATAGTTGGCCAGTAAACGTGACGACTCATGACTAGGTTCTGGGGTGAACCAGGAAGTACTCATGTCGTTCTAACATTCTCGTTCCACAGGAGTTTATCTAGCCAACTCTTAATTAAACATTGAAGGACAAACATTAGAATCCACTTTCAGTGTGTCAGTGAATGCCCTCTCTACTCCAGTGTTTTTCACATGTGTACAGTATTAGCCCTTTAGTGACAGGCAGGAAGACACTTTCCTTCCAGTCATCAGACATTCCCGTGACAAACCAAGCCCATTTGCTAAACATGAAAAATGTCATTCATCTGGTTTATCCCTTTGTTTGACTGAAGATGATGACGGCTGATCCATTGCTGTGGCAGCCAGCCTCTCACTTGTTTTTTTTTTTTTTTTTTTAAAGAACTATTAATACATTTGGTCATGCCACATGGGTTATCTTTCTGTGGAGGATGAACAAAGTTACAAAGTGAAATGTTGCTGCTACTGGACGATCTGGTTTGCAGTAATTGTCAGTAAATATTTTTAGGAAGATAATCTGAGTCAGTTCAGTTCATTAAAAAAACTATAAGACAAACCTGATGAAACCCAGAGGCTTTTATGAGTACAACTACCTCATACATTCATCTTTTGACTCCATAGGAGGATCTCTATGGTCTGAGTCATATATCCTCTATTGAATGGATGTGCATTATGTTTAGGAAAATAAAATCCCCTCAGCTGGAAATGTTAAACCTTTTCTTAGCTCCATTTTCAGCATCATGACATAAATCCTCACATAAATTTGACCGTTGGTGGGTGTGGTCAGGTGCATTGTTGTAGTTGACCTGTCACCTTGAGGCAGTGGGCACTGTGCAGTTGTTCAACAAGAGCCTGACTAAAAGACAATGGTGCAGGATTTCAAAGGTCATCCTTGTTCTTTTATTATAGCAGTCTAAAAAGGCTGTGCAGTCAACACAGGTTGCAGGTCTGGTTTTTGTCCTTAAACACACCTATTTAATAATTAAAGTAATCAATGGAGCTATTCAAACCACTGCAGCCATGGTTGGGACACATTTCATTTATAAATACTCAGCTGTCATATAATTATATTGGCAGATAATGGTGGTTTGGCATAAGCAGGTAATTATTGCCATGGTGTACTGTACAGTATTGAATATACCATAGTGTTTTGAATCATTGGGAGCATTAGCATTATTTTACTGACAGGATTACATACACATTCATATTGTTTTCTAACATTCTTTGGGATAACAAAACATTTCTCCCCCTCCACAGCTGTGTTCTTCCCATCTGCCCAGCCCTTCGGACGCTCCCAGTCATTACCAGGCCGTGTGCCGAGCTCTCTACGCCGAGTCCAGAGAACTATGCACATTCCTGGAAAAGATCAAGAGTGCCAAAGAGGTAAGCCGGTCCAGCTCCTGCCACCTGCAGGTTCGTGATTGTGAGAGAAACACTCAGAAAATTAAATTCCACTTCGATGCCATCACCGGTTGCTATAACCAGTAAATATCTGTGAGTCAACCCTATGTTTGCGTCAGGTATCATGACCTACACACATACCTTTGACACCACACTCATAGAGTCGGAACCCTTTGACACTGTCGTTGTTAATTTATTAGACAGTTAAAAAGATTGTTCCTTTGAAGTGTAATGTAACCACTGTTATGTATGTTGTAAGTCTATTTATAACCTATCTGCAGACGTATCTTTGTTGTGTTTAAAAGTAGAACAGTGCCAGTTATTTAGGCAACAACTACATAAACAACAACATAAAAGAGCCTACACAGCCGTAATGATGGGAACGGACTAATAACTGTTGAGTGTTTGTCTCTGACCTCTGGTCAGGACATTTGAGAATCCTGGCAGCAGGCACTGTGATCGAGGGCGTCAGTCTAGTTGCCTGATTATAAATAATACAAACTACTGTTAATGTGTCTCATAAGTCATGGAAATGACTGGAAATCATTTTAATTCTGATTCTAGCTTATTTCAGTGACTCACCATCAACATTCCTAAACATGAAAATGTAAAAAAAAAACTATGATCCTGATTTTCCTCATCATGTTTGGTGTAACTAAAGAGGTACATTTGTTGACGAGATGTTTGGTAGAGTCTTAAATTCCACTAAAAGTAGTGTAATTTCCCTTCAGTCAAACTTGGTGGACAGTGTCTCTAACCTCTGTAGACTTCAGGGCCCATGTGAAATTCTTATGTAACACACTGATTCTCCGTCAAGTGTAACAAAGCAATTTAAGGAGCTTACAGAAGGGGAATGCCAAGTTGTCAGGGCCCCTCTGAACCTCCTGGTTGCACTAAGACCCACTGAAGAATTAGTTGTTTGTTGTTGGACATTATTTGCATGAACACATGCATACTAAAAGTTCATTTTGAATTTACATTTCACACTAACAAGTTTTTATTTATTATTTATTTATTAACAGCCTGTTCCTGCGACGGCAATTAGCTTTAACTTTAAAGTTAGACTCAAAATTAACAAAAGCTAATTTTCCTTAGCATGTCCAGGAAATAGATACCAAATAACTTATGTTACCTTCGAAATGGTCAAAAGCTGCAAAAAATGCCAACTTTTGCTTTGCTGCTCTTCTACTAAGTTCAGTTTAGGACAATTAAATGCCCTGAACTGAAGTAAACTCAGAAAGGAAACGTGTTACATAACAACTTCACCATCATCCACTCTCATAAATAGTTTTTTCAGAGTTGTGGCTCTGTTTATCATTCCCTCAGTACATGTTGTTAAAAAATTAACCAAAAATAAAAGTGTTTACACACAGCACATTCACCAGCTATTGTTACATGTCCAGTATAAAAAAAATAGGGACAAGCCACCTTTTGTAGGAGACGTGAAGAGCAGCCGGTAACAGCCACATCATCACCAGTGAACTGTCGGCCGCTGACTTATTTCTTCCCTGTGGTAAACTGTCACCTCTGGATGGAATAGACATCGATGCACTTCAGCTAAACAACAAGCATTGATTAATTAAACAGCTCTGATCGTTTGGCCAGCTCCCATTGACTTCACATTAGTTGTAGCCAGCAGCATGACTACAACAAGTTTAAGGCCAGCATGGTTTGAGTGATTGGAAGTTGTAGCACTGGAGGTTGTAACCAAATATAATAGTTTTATGGAGGAACTGCTTCAACTTGAGCAAACAAAATATTTCATTAGGTTTTCTGATTTTTCTTATTCTGTTTTCTCCAGAACCTCCGTAGAATGGAAGGTGATGCTCAGGAGGAACCTGGTAAAGACCTCAATGAGCTGCAAAATGCAGACTGGGTATGAAGAACATTGACTTGAATATCTCAGCACTATAAATGTTTCACTGTTTAACTGTTTTGTTTATATGTATATGATTATTTTTAAAAATGTCAACAGGCAAGGTTCTGGGTGCAGGTGATGCGCGATCTACGACACGGCGTGAAGCTGAAGAAGGTTCAGGAACGCCAGTACAACCCTTTACCCATCGAGTTCCAGCTCACACCTTATGAAATGCTGATGGACGACATCCGCTCTAAACGTTACAAGCTAAGAAAAGTCATGGTGTGGATTCTCTTCACCTTAATTCACTTTTAGGTTTTGGGAAAAACCTTTTTTTTTTTTTTTTTGTGGTTGTATCAAAGGATTGTCAGGAATGGTCATTTCAGACAGCTGGTAATAATCTGTACTGCATGTTTTAAATCTGTATCACATGACCTTCCAGGTAAATGGAGACCTCCCTCCAAGGTTAAAGAAGAGCGCACATGAAGTCATCCTGGAGTTCATCCGGTCACGACCCCCTCTCAATCCTGTGAGTAATGCACTGTGTGCACAAGATCACAAGATTTTCTATTTGTAATATGTAATCTAATTAGTTTTTATACCCATGAGTCATTAGATCAGTCTGCACCAGGGGATTAGCAAAGATTTGATGTTCATTAAATTTACAACCACAAAATATTTTTTGCTAAAGATAGAAAAAGTTAGGATCACTTTAATGATAAATAGCTAACAATTAGCAAGGAAAACGTTCTAAAAGTCAGTGAAACCTTTGTCGGACCTACACTGTTGGTGCCTAACAACAGGCAGAAGGTTGTTATTGTGATAATGTCGTCTGTCCAACCTGTTTTTTGTCTTTCTTAGGTTTCAGCACGTAAACTGAAACCCCACCCTCCTCGACCCCAGAGCCTCCACGAGCGACTTCTCGAAGACATCAAAGCCGAGAGGAAGCTCAGGCCGGTCTCACCAGACATGGTCCGCAGAACTCGTCTGGGTGAGACACATGCGCACACACACAGACAAACACAGACTTACTTTTTTATGTTCTAGCATTTTCCCAGCTTCATCCTTTTGACACTCTACCAACCTATAAACCTGACTCTACAGGAAATTTGCTTCCTATAAAAACATGCATCAGTAGTCATTGGGGAATAAATCAGTTGTTTTTCATCATTTTTCTAGCATTTTTAAATCATCATACATTATTTTGTAACATTTCTTGAATTCTTGGAATTGTTTGCTAAATGAGGTTTTTTTTTTTCTTTTTTTTTTCCAGTTAATTTCAGTTAATACTTGTGCAATTGTAGGACTGATATTTAGTAACTTAGTAAGTTATTGTTAGTATGATTGATTTCTTTTCTGGCTAACAATTCTATATTTTGTGCAAATGTCTTATTGTTCTTTGACTAAATGGTTAGGTTTACCTAGATGAATTTGTTTCTACGTTAAGTTCTTCTTGACATTTTACCTTAATATGATGAGGTGAATATTTATGACCTAACCATTTTAAATGCATCCATCATAATTTCCACAACAGCTCCTTTCCTTCGTTGATCCCTTCACTTAATCACAAATGTCACAGTATTTGAACGGGGATGACCATGGCGGCAGCTGTTAGCTTTGGTTATTTGCTGTTATACGCCGCTGAAGGTTTCATCATTCTCCCTGACATTGTTGTCTAGGACTGATGATTTGCTGCTTTTACTTTCAGCGACTTCCTGTTGTAATAATACTCTTATGTAATGTGATATACAATATGTAGATGTCCTGATAAAAGGCATCATTGCTAAAGAGGCTGCAGAATGTAGTAATGAAGGTGAAAGTTCAAACCATTCAACACTTTAATCAGATTAAAAGAAAGTGAACATTTCATTAGTCAGTTCCAGACAGGACTGTTATAGGACTCACAACATGCCTTTTGTTGTGGGCTAAAGAAGTGAACATGTAGTTGTTATGTAATAATACAGTGGACTCTACACAACAGGGATTTTAAAGTGTCCCATTTATTTATTATTATTATTCTAACCCATATATCTAGCTATTTCTGAGAAACCTTTTTTTGATCTAATAATGCATTTCAACTAACCTTAGCTTGACTAATTTTGGCTTCTGCACCTTTTTCTTACTGTGGCTTAACTGTCAAGTCATGCGACCTCTTACCATGTCACACAGTTTTGACTCGTCAGGTAAAGATGTTTGGTTCCTGTATTAGCTCTATATGTTTTCATTCCAGGCTACTTTAAGGATTATACACTCCACGCTCCATGCTCGCTGTTCTTATCACTTTTATGCTTGTGCTTTTGAACTTATGTGCATGGCACACTACAGTTGCTAACTGGCTGTCACTGTAAATTATACAACAAGATTGTACAACTCATCACAGTCGGACATACTCAAATTTTCTCCTGTATATTTTTATGAGTGTAATAAATTCTGATAGTGTTCTACCAGCCCTGCGTGTCACAGCTGCTCAGTGACTGTCTGTGATCCTGGTGATGAGTCAGTCTGACCTTTCCCTCTCCCAAATCCCCTTCCTGATCATAGTTTTTTCTACTTTGGTTCACATTTTTTTATTCTGTAGCATCTTCCTTCACCTCACTGTCCCAGTATGGTTTGCAGCTTTGCACTAACTAAGGATACCTTTATCGGCATGTGTCTGCTCTGTCAGATTAAAAGTTTAATAGATTCATATATTTCTACGTGTGATCCT